AAAATTTGGTAATAAGTAAACATATTTTTTGAAAAAGAGGGTAAATAAATATACAAGGTAGATTACCGTATAAAGTAGTTTTTAATTATGTATTGGTGATAAAAATTTGATGGGTAGGGTCCGAGTCAAGTTTAAAGGGGCACTGATATATCGATTTATTTTTGTAGCTACAGTTAGAAAGGGAGATGGGAAAAGAGGAAGGCGGCAACAACAAATAAAGGGGGGGGTGAAAGGTATAAACTAAGGGGGAGGGAAATTCGGGCAGATAAACACTAATGGCAGAAAGGGGGGGGGGGGATGCAAAAAAAAATATGGGGGGGTTGAAAGGTTGGAATAGTTATAAAAAGCAGTTTAGAAAGGGGGAAGAAGTTTGTGTTAGGAGGTGGGGGGAGAGGGAAAAAGGATGATTTGGGGGAATGAAAGTAAAGGGTGTATAAAAGAGAAAAGGTAGCTTACGAAGGTTTTTACAAGCAAATGTTATAAAAGAGCAGAGTATATGGAAGTAAAAGAAAGGTGAAGAAGGGTGAGAGAGTGCAAAAGGAGAGCAGATGAAAGAGTGGGAGGCACTTCAAAAAATTTTAAAGAAAATAAGAAAAAATTTTTGGGGTGATTTAAAAAAGTTAAAAACCTAGGGAAAGAAAGGATTTTCCTTAAAAACAAGTAGGGATTAGTAGATGGGGAGAGGGAGGACAGGAGATGGGGAAATTTTTTTAGGACTTTTAAAGTAAGGAAAAAGGGACGGTAATTTATGCACGGGCCCGGAGGAAACCCTTTTAGGGGTGAAAAGACGAAATGTAAGTGGGGGGAGGTCGGGGGCATTACGTGAATGAAAGGGGGGAAAACAGCTGGAACTGTTGGGGCATGACAGAAATTTAAAAACAGGGGGAATATGTTGGGGTGGTTTGGGACTTTTTTTTAATAAATGTATGAAAAGAGGAAATACCAGGGGTTGGCGGAGAGCTGATAGTCCCTTTATATAAAGGGGAAAGGGACAAAAGAGATTGTAAAAATTTTAGAGGGAAAAAGTTTATTGAGATACCAGGAAAATGACGGTAAGTTTTAATTGAAAGAATTAGAGGAAAAAACGAAAGTAAAAGCGGATGACAAGGAGGCTTCAAAGGGGGAGGGGGTGGTAGATCAAAGGGTTTTCATTGAACAATTGCAACAGTATTTGATAAAGGTAGGGAAGTTTTTATGCATTTATGGTTTAAAAAAGGGAATGATAGAGTGGAAAGGGGCAATGTGGCAACGTTCAATTTTTTGGAATAGGGGGTAAATTTTCTAAATGCTGTAAAGACTTTTATGAGGGTATGGGCTCAGGTTTTGGGTGTTAAAAAAGAGGGAAAAACTTCCCGGTAAAAGTAGGCTTAGACAGGGATGGTAATGTCACCATGGTTGTTTAATATATTTATAGATGGGTTGTAAAAAATAAAAGCTTGGGGGTTTGGGGGAAAGGGGGGGATTAAAAATGGGGTCAAAAAACAAAATGGGAATTGACACGTTACTTTTTTCTGATGAACTTTCTTTGGGAGATTCTAAAGAAAAATTGCAAAGGTTATGGGTGATTTGAGAATGTTTAAAGGGAGAAAGTTTTAAAGGGAAAATAGAAAAGAGTAAGGGGAGAGGGGGATCAAAAAGATTTAAAAAAGAAAAAGGTATCAAATTGGGAAAAAGGGGAAGGAAGAAGTGAATGTTTTCAGATACTTGGGAGTTGACGTTCGGCGGATGGGTTAATGAAGGGGAGGTTAATCATAGAATTGAAGGGAAAAAAGGTGATGGGTGCGTTTTAGATAAGTGATCCCAAAAAACTTTTTTCTATGGAGGGAAAGAAGGAATGTATGAAAGTATAGTAGTACCCCACTCTTATATGGAGTGAACTTGGGGGAAATGCACACGGGGTACGTTGGGGGCATGGGAAAACCCGCAAGGGCAATGTTGGGGTAAATATAAGCAAAAATTCGGAGTGTGGAAAAATTTGGAGAAGGTGGGGGTTAAAAAAGCATTAGTCAGAGGCAAAAGGTTTTTTGAGGGTTTGGGCATTTAGGAAAAATGGATCAAAGTAGAAGAATGGGAAAACCCAAAAAATCATAGGGGGGAAAGGGAAAGAGGGGTAGGGGTCCCTCCTCGAAAGGGGGGGAAAGAGGGGGAAAAAAGGTTTTGTTGCGAGGGGTGGACTTCCACAAGCTGCATGACGTGTTAAAAGGAGTGAATGGGAAATAATCTTGGGGCCGACGATCTGTTGGAGTGGGCAGGGGAATATTTAGTGAAGGATTCAGGGGAAAACCGTTATTTTTTTTATAGTCGGACTGATCCTGGAAATTGGAAGTACAATCCTGCACTTTAAAGGAGGGGTTTTTGGGAAATTGCGTTTTGGGGATAGTTGTTATTTTTATACTTTTTTTTTTTCAAACTGTTTTATTCTGAGCACCCTGGGAAAAACGTGATAATTGGAGTGTGGGGAAAGTGTTTAATGATGAGAAAAATATTTCTTTTGGGATTTTTTTTTTTTTTGGTCACCCTCCTCGGTGGGGACACCAAATTGTTTTAAAAAAAAAATAAATAAATAATAATATATATATATATATATATAGAGGTATTGGGGGGAAAAAAAGGAATATTTTGAGGGGAAATTTTTAAATGTTGAAAGTGGGAAAACTGTGATTTCGTGTAAGGCAAGGGGGGAATAACATCTGTAGGAGTAGGAAACCAGTTGTGAGTGTGGGGGTTTTTGTGGGGCATAGGTAAAAAAAAGGGGTAAGGCACCGGGATTGATGGGGTAAAGATAGAAATGTTAAAAGCAGGTGGGGATAAGTTTTTGGGGGTTGGTGCAATTATTAATAAATTTGGAAGGGTAAGGTACCTAGGGGAATTTTGGGGAGAGCATGCATAGTTCCTTTTTATAAAGCAAAGGGGAAAAAGAGTGCAAAAATTAAGGGGATAAGTCCCGTTGAGGTTTACCTGGTAAAGTGTAGGGGAAAGTTTATAATTTAAAGAATTAAAGTAAACGGGGGAAAGGGAACAATAAAAAGAGGCTTTAGGAAAGGTGGGGGGGGTGGACCGGGGGTTTCAGTGAAAAAATAAGTGAACAGATTTTGATAAGGGAAAAAAGGGCTTTGTGGGGATTTATGGATTTGGGAAAAAGGGGTAGACAGGGTGGATAGGGGGCAAGTGGGAGATGTTGCAAGTGTTGGGGTAGGGGTTTTGGTTAGAAAGCATGAAATTTTTTCAGGAATAGGGTCAAGTTAGAGTAAGTAGGAAAGAGGGAAATTTTTTTTCCCCTAAAAAAACCTTAGACAAGGAAATTTTGATGTCACCGTGGGTTTTTAATATATTTATGATGGGTTTAAGAGAAAAAAATGCGAGGGGGTTGGCAAAGGCGGGAGTTAAAAAATAAAGAATCACACACAAAGTGGGGGTTTTTCACAGCTCTCTTTGCTGATGCACGGCCTTGGGAGATTTTTTTAAGAGAATTGCAGAGATTGGGGATGAATTTGGGAGGTGTGCCAAAAAAAAAATTAAAAAGGGAATAAAAAAAGAGTAAGGTTATGGGATAACAAAAAAATTTTTGGGGTAAAGATTAATATCAATTGGAGGGAGAGAGATGGGGGAAAGGAAAAGATTCAGAATTTGGGAGTGGGCGTGTCAGCGGATGGGTCTATGAAAGATAGGAACATAAATTGATGAGGAAAAAGAGTGGGGTGCACTTAGGAGTCTGTGGAGACAAAGAACTTTGTCCTTGGGGCAAAGGGGGAATGTATGAGAGTAAGTTTTACAACGCTCTTAAAGGTTGAAGCGTGGGTGATGAATGTTGCAGCGAGGAGAAGGCTGGAGAGTGGAGATGTCTGTCTGAGGGCAATGTGTGGGTGAATATAATGCAAAATTCGTAGTTTTTGGAATTTTTGGGGAGTGCGGATTCCAAATTTGTCCAAGGGGTGAGGAAGGGGTTGAGTGTTCGGACATGTAGAAGAAAGACGAAACAAAAGACTTCAAGAGTGATCGCTTTGGGAAGGAAGGGGGGGTAGGGTCCCTAGGGAAGGGGTTGGAGGGGGGGGTAAAAGGTTTAGTTGCGAGGGCTTTTGGGCTTCCACAGGCTGCGTAGCGTGTTTTTATAGGGGTGAATGGGGACAAATGTTTTTTAAAAATTGACGGCGTTGGAGTGTGAGCAAAGTAAAAAATTTTGAAGGGGTTCAGGAAACCGGGAGGGCCCGGGCTTTAGTCCCCGGGGGATGGGGAAATACAGTGCCCGCACCGAAGGGGGGGGTTAATGTTGCAGTTTTAAAAAAATTAGTGTAAAGCACCCTTCTGGCAAGACATGATGGAGGAATGATGGTGAAAGTTTTTTTTTTTTTCGGGCCACCCGCCTTGGGGGAATCGGCCGTGTGAAATAAAAAAAAAAAAAAAATTATATAATATAAATAATTAAATATAATTGAATATATATATAATAATAAATTTTGTGTGTGTTTTTGTGTGTGTGTATCAAAAATTGCATATCTAGCTTACTTTTTGGTGAAATAATCATTATAAAGGGTATGAGTAAAACGAATCAAAAAATTCTATTCAACTAATTAAGACAAAATTAACTGCAAATTTTTAAAATGAAACATATAAGTATTTTTCCTGGTTTTTTAAAAAGAAGAATCATGTATTTTTTGTTATACTTTCATAATTTTCTTTGCAATCTTTTTAGTGTTGGTCTTTTTTACTACAGAGCAAAAAATTTTTATAGTATACATGCAAATAGCAGGGAAAAAATGACACAAGATTAAAAAACCACCAAGGGTTGGGATTGGGACATACTATTAACAATGAAACAAACTGATGCAGTCGTTGGCCTGATATAGCGTACGATATTTTGACTTTTACCCCTGCGGCTGGAAGACGTGTCCGTGGCATAACCCTCTCTGCAGACTCCGACCTGGAAGCTCTGGGGGAGATCTGGGTTCTGCTGGAGCATCCTACTTTTTACCCTTGTTACCCCCCCCTTTTGCTCTACTCTCAGCCGTTCCCTTCACCATCGGCAGGGAGGGGGTTTTCAAAGGGGATAAAAGATATTCTTAAACTAATTTTCCCTCCGACGATTACAAAGGCTGCTTTGGGTTAAATTCCAAGTTTACTTTAGTTAGGTATGCAGCTACTAACCCCCCCCATCTTTCCCTTTCTCTTCACAGGGGAGAAAATTAATGTGAATGTTCCAATTCCCCGTTAAATATTAAGGCTGGGGTTTTAGTGTGATACAGGGTTCTTTAAGGGCGCAGATACCTTTTTAAACCTTTAAAAGTGGGTATTTTTAGGCAAAAGGAAATTGGGGGGGGGTTGTAACCTATATAACAAAACAAACTGGGCAGAAGAATATTAAATTTTTAGGTAAAGGTTCTCTCAGTCAAAAAACTTATTATTATTTTTTTTTATCACACGGGGCCATTCCCACCAAGGGAGGGGGGCCCAAAAAGAAAAACTTTCAAACCCTCATTCCTCCACACTGTCTTTCCAGAAGGGGGCTTTACACACATTTTTTTTAAAATCAACATTAAAACCCCTCCTTTAGAGTCAGGCACTGTACTTCCATCTCCAGGGCTCAAGTCCGCCTGCCGATTTCCCTGAACCCCTTCATAAATGTTACTTTGCTCACACTCCAACAGCACGTCAAGTATTAAAAACCATTTGTCTCCATTCACTCCTATCAAACACGCTCACGCATGCCTGCTGGAAGTCCAAGCCCCTCGCACACAAAACCTCCTTTACCCCCTCCCTCCAACCTTTCCTAGGCCGACCCCTACCCCGCCTTCCTTCCACTACAGACTGATACACTCTTGAAGTCACTCTGTTTTGCTCCCTTCTCTCTACATGTCCGAACCACCTCAACAACCCTTCCTCAGCCCTCTGGACAACAGTTTTGGTAATCCCGCACCTCCTCCTAACTTCCAAACTACGAATTCTCTGCATTATATTCACACCACACATTGCCCTCAGACATGACATCTCCACTTCCTCCAACCTTCTCCTCGCTGCAACATTCATCACCCATGCTTCACACCCATATAAGAGCGTTGATAAAACTATACTCTCATACATTCCCCTCTTTGCCTCCAAGGACAAAGTTCTTTGTCTCCACAGACTCCTAAGTGCACCATTCACCCTTTTCCCCTCATCAATTCTATGATTCACCTCATCTTTCATAGACCCATCCGCTGACACGTCCACTCCCAAATATCTGAATACATTCACCTCCTCCATTCTCTCTCCCTCCAATCTGATATCCAATCTTTCATCACCTAATCTTTTTGTTAGCCTCATAACCTTACTTTTTCCTGTATTCACTTTTAATTTTCTTCTTTTGCATACCCTACCAAATTCATCCACCAATCTCTGCAACTTCTCTTCAGAATCTCCCAAGAGCACAGTGTCATCAGAAAAGAGCAATTGTGACAACTCCCACTTTATGTGTGATTCTTTATCTTTTAACTCCACACCTCTTGCTAAGACCCTTGCATTTACTTCTCTTACAACCCCATCTATAAATATATTAAACAACCACGGTGACATCACACATCCTTGTCTAAGGCCTACTTTTACTGGGAAATAATTTCCCTCTTTCCTACATACTCTAACTTGAGCCTCACTATCATCGTAAAAACTCTTCACTGCTTTCAGTAACCTACCTCCTATACCATACACCTGCAACATCTGCCACATTGCCCCCCTATCCACCCTGTCATACGCCTTTTCCAATCCATAAATGCCACAAAGACCCCTTTAGCCTTATCTAAATACTGTACACTTATATGTTTCACTGTAAACACCTGGTCCACACACCCCCTACCTTTCCTAAAGCCTCCTTGTTCATCTGCTATCCTATTCTCCGTCTTACTCTTAATTCTTTCAATAATAGCTCTACCATGCACTTTACCAGGTATACTCAACAGACTTATCCCCCTATAATTTTTGCACCCTCTTTTGTCCCCTTTGCCTTTATACAAAGGAATTATGCATGCTCTCTGCCAATCCCTAGGTATCTTACCCTCTTCCATACATTTATTAAATAATTGCACCAACCACTCCAAAACTATATCCCCACCTGCTTTTAACATTTCTATCTTTATCCCATCAATCCAGGCTGCCTTACCCCCTTTCATTTTATCTACTGCCTCACGAACTTCCCCCACACTCACAACTGGCTCTTCCTCACTTCTACAAGATGTTATTCCTCCTTGCCCTATACACGAAATCACAGCTTCCCTATCTTCATCAACATTTAACAATTCCTCAAAATATTCCCTCCATCTTCCCAATACCTCTAACTCTCCATTTAATAACTCTCCTCTCCGATTTTTAACTGACAAATCCATCTGTTCTCTAGGCTTTCTTAACTTGTTAATCTCACTCCAAAACTTTTTCTTATTTTCAACAAAATTTGTTGATAACATCTCACCCACTCTCTCATTTGCTCTCTTTTTACATTGCTTCACCACTCTCTTAACCTCTCTCTTTTTCTCCATATACTCTTCCCTCCTTGCATCACTTCTACTTTGTAAAAACTTCTCATATGCTAACTTTTTCTCCCTTTCTACTCTCTGTACATCATCATTCCACCAATCGCTCCTCTTCCCTCCCGCACCTACTTTCCTGTAACCACAAACTTCTGCTGAACACTCTAACATTACATTTTTAAACCTACCCCATACCTCTTCGACCCCATTGCCTATGCTCTCATTAGCCCATCTATCCTCCAATAGCTGTTTATATCTTACCCTAACTGCCTCCTCTTTTAGTTTATGAACCTTCACCTCTCTCTTCTCTGATGCTTCTATTCTCCTTGTATCCCATCTACCTTTTACTCTCAGTGTAGCTACACCTAGCAAGTGATCTGATATATCTGTGGCCCCTCTATAAACATGTACATCCTGAAGTCTACTCAACAGTCTTTTATCTACCAATACATAATCCAACAAACTACTGTCATTTCGCCCTACATCATATCTTGTATACTTATTTATCCTCTTTTTCTTAAAATATGTATTACCTATAACTAAACCCCTTTCTATACAAAGTTCAATCAAAGGGCTCCCATTATCATTTACACCTGGCACCCCAAACTTACCTACCACACCCTCTCTAAATGTTTCTCCTACTTTAGCATTCAGGTCCCCTACCACAATTACTCTCTCACTTGGTTCAAAGGTTCCTATACATTCACTTAACATCTCCCAAAATCTCTCTCTCTCCTCTACATTCCTCTCTTCTCCAGGTGCACACACGCTTATTATGACCCACTTTTCGCATCCAACCTTTACTTTAATCCACATAATTCTTGAATTTACACATTCATATTCTCTTTTCTCCTTCCATAACTGATCATTCAACATTACTGCTACCCCTTCCTTTGCTCTAACTCTATCAGATACTCCAGATTTAATCCCATTTAATTCCCCCCACCGAAACTCCCCTACCCCCTTCAGCTTTGTTTCGCTTAGGGCCAGGACATCCAACTTCTTTTCATTCATAACATCAGCAATCATCTGTTTCTTGTCACCCGCACTACATCCACGCACATTCAAGCATCCCAGTTTTATAAAGTTTTTCTTCTTCTCCTTTTCAATAAATGTCTACAGGAGAAGGGGTTACTAGCCCATTGCTCCCGGCATTTTAGTCTCCTCAGACGACACGCATGGCTTACGGAGGACAATGGAAGAAATAAAGAAGAACAAGAGCTATTTAGAAAAAGGAGAAAAACCTAGATGTATATTATATATATATATATATATATATATATATATATATATATATAATATATATATATATATATATATATATATATATATGTATATATATATATATATATATATATATATATATATGCTTGTGCGTGTCTGTGAAGTGTGACCAAAGTGTAAGTAGGAGTAGCAAGATATCCCTGTTATCTAGCGTGTTTATAAGACAGAAAAAGAAGCCAGCAATCCTACCATCATGCAAAACAGTTACTTAATACTTAATATAAAATAGTTTAATCGAACCTAATCTATGTAAACTATTACTTGTACATGAAACTGAGCCACATATGTAAAGATGTTATGTTGTATTTAATAAAAGTCGGAGATAGATAAATGAAGGAACAAAAGATGAGAGACAGAACAAACCTCGGAGCTAAGATAGAATGACCTGGGAAGAAACCAGGAGCAACATCTCATCCCATATAATTTGCATGAGATAAATGCACTCAAACAAACAGAGAAAGAAACGACTTCATTACACACACACATACACACACATACACACACACGCGCACACACACACACCGTGACACTGCTGGTCAAAAACTGATGGGATTTTGATAAGCTGGAGAGAGGAGACAGTGGAGAAGCAAGAGATTACATAGTAGGAACACTTCAGTCAGGAGGTCCCAAGGTGGTAATTGCAGTGATGTATAACCCACCACAGAACAGCAGGAGGCCAAGGCAAGAGTATGATGAGAATAATAGAGCGATGGTTGACACACTAGCTGAAGTGGCAAGAAGGGCTCATGAAAGCAGGGCAAAGCTATTGATAATGGGTGACTTCAACCACAAGGAAATCTATTGGGAAAACTTGGAGCCACATGGGGGGGGGCAAGAAACGTGGAGGGCTAAGATGATGGAAATGGTACTGGAAAACTTCATGTACCAACACGTAAGGGACACTGCCTACCAGAGAGAGAGAAGAGGATGAACCAGCGAGACTGGACTTAATATTCACCTTGAGTAGTACAGATATTGAGGACGTCACATATGAAAGACCCCTTGGGGCCAGCAATCATGTGGTTTTAAGATTCGAATACACAGTAGAGTTGCAAGTGGATGGGGGAGCAGGAAGAGCCTGACGAATGAAGCCAAACTACAAGAAGGGTGACTATGTGGGACAGAGAACTGGCAAGGAAGTCAGTAAACGAGATGATGGAATATGTGACAACAATATGCAAAGAAGCTGAGGAGAGGTTTGTAACCAAGGGTAACAGGAATAATGAAAAAGCCAGGATGAGCCAGTGGTTC